ACAAAGCACAGCTCTGACTGTTTTGTCTTCTTTTTCTAGTGTCGTTCTCAGTGGCTTAAAAACAACTTTTTGTGTTTCTCCCACCCCAAAGCAGCACCTGACACTTACTCTTCCCACCTAACTACTGTTGGGTTCTTTAGTTCTTGAAAGAGATGTCTATACCCATCAACTCATTGCTCAGCTCGTTCCAGCCTCTCTTGTTTTTGTCTTTCAGCTACAACTGTTCTTGTCAAGGCTACAGAAGGCCTTCCTGTCATTAACAGTGATAGACATTTTCCCTTCTCATCTTGATGCATCAGGACAGGTGACCTTCCCTCCTCTTTGTTCTGCCTGTTGGGTCTCTCTTTCTTTGATGGTCCCTTTCCCATCTGCTGTCTCCACTAGTATTTCTGTGATTGAGTCCAAGATGCTCTTCTGCCTCTCTGGGCTCTTTTCCTAGGGTGACCTCATCATTTCTGTAGTATTTAGCACTACACATATTCAGATGACTTTTGAATGTATGCCTCCAATTCAAACATTCCCATGGCTTTCTAAATAGTACATTCAACCCTGTACTTGACATTCTTTTAGATGTTTGAAATGAATGTTTTTCTTTTGATTAGAACTATTCAGTGGCCTTTCATTACTCCATATACCCCATACCCACCTAAAAGAGTAAATACCTTTTTCCCCCCATAAATTTAATTCTTTTTCCACAGATCTCTTCTCATCCCTCCTCCTGCTCCCCCTTAACCTCCCCCTCCATCCGTCTCCCATCCCCTCCTCCAAAAGGATAAGGCCTCCCATGGGGAGTTAGCAAAGCCTGGTACATTCAGTTGAGGCAGGGCCAAGCCCTTCCTCCCTGCATCAAGGATGAGCAAGTCATCCGACCATAGATGATGGGATCCAGAAAGCCAGCTCATGCACCAGGAATAGATCCTGATCCCACTGTCAGGGGCCCCTTAGACAGACCAACCTACACAACTGTATCCCATATGCAGAGGGCCTAGTTCGATCCCATGCGGGTTCCACAGTCGTTGGTCTAAAGTTTGTGAGTTCCTATGTGCTTGGTTCAGTTGCCTCTGAAGATTTCTCCATCATGATCTTGATACCCCTTGAAGAGCAAATATCTTATCGTGACTTGTGTATGAGGTATTCTGTATGGCCTGGTGCTTGCTTTATGAAGCAACTCATGTGATGGCTGCTGTTTGTTTCTTGTGCTTTAGGGTGCTCCTGGTTTCCTTTTCATTCCTGCATGTGCCCAGCTTTTTTCAACCCCCAGGATCTTTGCGCAACTTTTTCCTTTGCTAGAAATACCCAGTTTCTTGTGCCTGGTGTGGCCATTCCATCTTATCCTTTGGATCAATGTTGTCATCCCTGAGAAGCTGTTGTCCAATTAGGTAGTCAGCTGTGTGAGTTGCAAGATCTCTGTTTTTGTTGTTCAGCATGTGTTTCCAGCACATACTATATCACTTTGTGTAGTTGGATTTCCGTGTGCAAAATGAGTAAGCTTACTGACATGTAAAAACCTCATTTCTTACTGAAAGACTAGACTCAAACTGTGTATCCATGTATTTTGTACTGTTCTTGCACCGAACCTGTAAGCAACTTCAATGTTAAACAAAATAGGGTGAGAAGGACCTTGAACAGCTGACGAGCATTTAGAGCATAGCATGAAGGTTACAGTCTGGGCTTAGTTCTTCTTTTTTGTACGTTCATCTAAGTGTACCTAAGTAAGTGCAATCAGTATCCTGGTTCTGGTCAGCTGGGCTTATTTCTGTAGGTGCTGAGATGCCCTTTCTGGAGCTTAATAAGAAGCACAGTCCATTTGCCAAGACAACTCTTCATTCTTGTCATAGTTTAGTTCCTTAACCTGAGGTGAGATTTCTAGGGGAAGGCTGGCCTTGTGTTTAGAGCAGCATGGCAGGATGGAAAGGACATTGAACCACAAGTTGGCTTGGATTTTTGCCCTAGTCCTAATTACTTTGAAAACCAAAACAAAACCCTAAGCCTCAGTTTTCCCACCCATAAAACAAGAAAATTGGATCACATGGTTCCTATGGTTTCTTTGGCTTTAATCATTATGAAAAAGCTGATTCTTATAGAAATAATGGATGCTGATATTAAAAGGAAACAAACTATAGCTTTTGAGGAAAAAGACCCCAAGCCATTTTTTTTTTAATGAAAAAAATAGTGAATACTCCCATAGACTACCTCAGCTAGTGAAGTGAGTGATACATTCCTTGGAGATTCAGAATCCTTCAAGTTAACCTCTGTTTGACTGCCCCTGACAGACTTAGTTTATTGGACGTTGTCCAAGGGGAGAAAAAAATTGAGTTGACTGCTTTTGTGTTTTTGATGACCTGTACTTCAACCCTTCTAGGAATTAAAAAGGTGACTCAATTGAGAATAATAAGTGTCTCCTTCTAAACTGCAACATCCCAAAAAGAATCATTCATTTTAATGCAAACTTGAATCACTTGATCCCTTAGAGGACTACTCTTATAGAAAGAAAGAAATGAGGCAAAAGAACTACTTGTGCTCAGGGTTAGAAAGCTGCGTTGGTCAGAGAGACTCTAAATCATGACCTTCCTGTGAATTTTATCTTCAGTCAGTTGGGAGCAGCTTGCTTCTTACCTTTTATTAATTATTCCTACTAAGGACTGTCCTTTTAAAAATAAACATTTATCCCACTGATTCCCAAAGTATACTTAGGGTTGAGTGATAGCTTCTCATAATTATTCCATGTGAAGAAATCGAGGCCCTGAAGGCTGGTTTTAAGAAACTTGGCTAAGTTAAAGCCCAGGTAATAGTGACTGAGCTGGGTTTTGCAGCAAGCCAGTGAGCAATGAATCTTTCTTTGAGCTTAAAATGTAGTTATGCATACTTTTTAAAAAATCATTTTTAATGGCAATGTGAGGGATAGAAAATTAATGGCAGCCCACTTGCAGGTGAAGTGATTTGCATACATGACCCTTCCCTAGGGATCTGTTTTGTTTTGATTTTTATCCAGCCCTATCGACAGCCTTCTTTTCTAGTTTCCATTTTGCACATTTGAGGACTAAAGTCAAACCCAAAGCAAAATAATGAATCACATTTGGTAGGATCACATAGTAACATCTCCCAGAAACATGACCTTATTTGTGTCTTGGACTTACAAAACCTGTTGCTTTAAGTATTTTAATAAAAACAGGCTTTTCCCTCCCCCACTGAGGCATACTTTCCTCCCGGATCACTTTAATTATGTGAGCTAGAATCCTGTTTCTCACACATCTTCAGTTTTCAACCTTGTTAAAATTAATCATATAATCCCCCTTTAAAACATAGTATTAAAATCACCATAGTAACACAGTATCCAAGCTTTATAGATAAAACATAACAGCCATAAGAAGGTAGCATTTGGTGTCCCCTTGACAGCTCTATAACTTTTATGGAAATGTGTTCCTTCCCCTGTATAAGGTGGGGATAGCATTACTTACACCTGCTTTATTACCACATGGCTTTGAAATTGCCACCTTGTTTTTGTTCACCTTCCTAGTTAAATAAGGAGAGTGGAACACTTCCTTGTCTTTTGGAGCCGTTTTCCTGTGCTTGAAGCACTCTCTAAGGGATAGAATTATGTCCTTAAATATAACTAGGCAAGGCCCTTGACCTTTGTGCTGGGATACCCTGAAAATCTCTTTAATTTTACTTTTCTTTTGTGACTTGTATAAGGAAGCTTTAGAAAGAAAGTCTATTCTAAATTTGAAATTTTAATTCATAGCTTACCCAATACAGTCCTGCCTTTTTCAAAGGCCTATTAAGAATGATTTTTCATTTCTACTGACAATTGGTACCTTAGCATCAGTTTGAATATTTTAACAAAGTCAATGTTTTATCAACTCAAGTATACTTTGTGAAATATAGTATAAGATACATACAAGTCACTGAATTCCTTGGATTAATTTACTATCAAATTCTAAATATTATGTTAGTGTAAACTTACATATTAGAATTTGAAATGTTTACATTTTTTAAAAGCGTGAGATATAGGAGAACTGGTAAACTAATAAAAATTGTGCATTTTGAAGCATTTTGTAACTTAAAATAGTTTTAGATTAATCTGGTTGTTAACATGCTTTTAAATTATTTATTAGACATTTCCTACTCTATATTGCTTTTATGTGTAGTTAGCTTATTTTGTACTGACACAAGAATTTTTAGCTTTTTAATGTCTTGAAACATTGCTTTAATTTTTAGTCCCTTGAACAAGCTTAACGTTTTGGTACTCGTGCCCTCTAAGCTAATAAATATGTTCCTCAAAGTTCAGAAAGTATCAAAGGTTCAGGAATTCCAGAGAACAACACATAACTCTGCCCCTTTTTCTTTCCAGTGTTCATGATGGCTCCTTCTGGCACTCACTGAACCTGAATGAGTTCCCTAGCTACTCTTGACTGTCCTTTTCTGTAAAATGAGAACATTACTGAAATTCCACATTATCATGAGAATAACTAAGTGGTGCATTAGATATGTAAATAACCGTAGCGGTGACAGTGAGCTGGTGCTGTGGCCATTGGAGTCACAGCAAGGCTTAAACAACAGCCTTTTGCCACCCACCTCATGGTACCTTAGGCAGTGCTTGTCTCAGTTTTCTTCCTCTCTACATGAGGATGCTAGAGTGCTTCTTTCAGCACTGATGGCCGATTGACACAGCTACCTGGGGCTGGACCTCAGTTAGGGACATTGGAAAGTGTTGTTGATTTTGATTTCTAGTGGTCATTAGAATAGGCTCCTTTCTCTCCTTTTCTTCCCACTCCTTCCTCTTTCCTCATTCCACTTCCTCCTTCCCTGCTCTGTCCTTGCCTCCTCCCTTTCATTTCCCTCTCCTTTCTTGTCTGCTCCCTTGAAGTGTGTAAATTTTAAGCTCATTTGTAAAGGTCTACAAAGGAAATGTAACAGGTTCAATGACTTGTGACGATTAGATACTTTATCTGGAAATTTAGCACACATTCATTTCTCCCTTTGTTCTGTCTTCACTGCAGCCTCACAGTTAGCCAAGTTGGCCAGCACTTCACGTTCGTGCTCACTGACATTGACAGCAAACAGAGATTTGGGTTCTGCCGCTTATCTTCAGGGGCCAAGAGCTGCTTCTGTATCTTAAGGTAAGGGAGAAGGGCTTCAGCCATTGGCTGGTTCTGTGAAACAGTTGTCAGCTTTTGCATAGTCCTTCTGTAATTAAGTTTTCCAGCTGTTGTTTTGGTGTCCTATCTGTTCCCCACAAGTCAGTGATCTTGGGGAGAAGGACTTTGTGATGTTGCTCTTGCACTTGAAGTCCTGCAGATAATTGTATTTATTTATTTGCATCACATCCCTTGGGTGGGAAGGGCCTCAGTGCTCCTGAGTGGTATGTGGAAACTGGAGAGTCAGCAGGGCTTCAGTCCCTCCTGCTGTTATCTGGAGCTGTCAGAAATTAGTCTGTTAGGCTTCCCTGTGGACATTTTGTGTATGTAAGATTATTAATAAAATATGTGTCTAGCTCAGGACAGCCTACAGACACTGATTGTGTGCTCCTTAGAGTAGAACCCTTGCCCTCTTTGAGTCAGTGTCTGAATAACTTCCCAACCTGGCTGCCTCTGTAGAAGTTCCAGAAAAGTGCAGAAGTGTGAGAAGATGACTTCAGGCCTTCTGAAATCCCTTTGCAAACCAGAGCCACACTTGCTTAATGCTCTGTTTCCTCCTGCCAGGGGGGTAAGGCATTCTGGGGTGGGAGGATGTGTGGAAATCCGATTTTGGAGCTGCTGGCTCTGTGGGCTCCTGCTGGGCGCCTCCTGAGGGGGAGGTAAAGGCATCCCACACATTCTCCTCTCCATCTGCCTCTCTTAAGTAGGTGTTGGGGGGCCTGCCTCCTCCTTCTATCTGCTGTGGAGCAGCCAGTGTGAGCAGCAGGGAGGTGTCCATGACAAAACCTGGGCCCCATGCTTGGGCCCAGCCAGGGTTAAAAGGCCAAGCCCTCTGTGGTGTTCAGAAGGGGTGGTTCTCTGCTGTAACAGTCTCTGCACTTTGTTCACTTCTCACCAAGTAAAGGACCCTCCCAACATAACTCACTCCCCAAAGCCATACCAGGAGAAAAGGGCCCAACTGATGAAGTTCCTTTGCTCTTGTCAGCCTGAACCACAACTCTGCATTTTTCTAACAGATCTCATCATTTTCGTTCCTAGCTAGTGAGGTCAACTCCCCTCATCACCAAGTTTAGCATTTCTGGTTTGGGCACCAGAGGCCTGCTGCACAGAGCCCGGAGGAGGGATGGGGCTGGCTGCTATGGAGCAGTGACTGTGTTGTTCTTGAATAGCCAGTGCTATGCACTGCCTGCCCAGGAGCTAGACTTGGATAGTAATAGTTGTTTACTTATGACTAGGTATAACTCTTTTTATTTATTTATTTATTTATATTTTTTAATTTTATTTTAGTTATTATTTAGTGGGCATATTTTCTCTTCCATTCCTGGCTGTTGTATTTCAGCCTTGGCCAAGATACTGCATATTTACATTGTGAATTTGAAGGAGTGAATGCTTAGTCCTGGTTCTTGAGTTTGGTAGAAAGGATTGTCCTGGGTGGTTGTAGTGGCGTGTACCTTGATCCCAGCAGAAGCAGGTGGATCTCTGAGTTTGAGGCCAACCTGGTATACATAGTGAGCTCTAGGCCAGCCAAGGCTACATAGTGAGACAATGACAAAAACAAAAACAAAGAGAGGGTTTATTCCTCATATTTTGGGGAGTTACATTTTTTCTTTTCAAATTGGAATCTGTGTGTGTGCACACACATATGCTCTTGTGTGCACACCCAAACACTCTGGCACTATCATATTCGTCAGCAAATGTCTGGGCGTGGGGAACCACTTCTTTAAAACTGTGAATTGAACAGCTGAGTGCAGCTTAGGGTGCAAGGCTTGCCTGGATGCACAGACCCTATGCTTGATCCCCAGCACCACCATCAAAAATGAACAAATAAGTATATAAATAAACTCACACTCCTTTGTTTCTAGTGTTCAATTTTATATGTCTACCAGGGTTTTTGTGAAGCCAGGTATGATGGCTATTCTTGGTTGTCAACTTAACTACATCTGGAATTAACTAAAACCCAAGTGGCCGGACACACCTGTGAGGGATTCTTAATTAAGTCATTTGGAGTAGGAGGAGCCACTTCCACTCTGGATCTTTGAAGTGAGAAGACACACCTTTAATCTGGCCACACCTTCTACTGGAAACCTATATAGACCCATGGAAGAAGGAAACTCTCTCTTTGCCTGCTTGCCCTCACTCTCACTGTTAGGCCCATTCCTTCACTGGCCTTAGAGCCTACTTCTACTGGATTCTGGTGTATACTGAAGACCAGCTGAGAAACCTGGCCTTGTGGACTGAACAACTACTGGATTCTTGGATCTGCTGTTGGTAGACAGCCATTGTTGGACTAGCTGGGCCACAGCTTATAAGCCATTCTAATAAATCCCCTTTCTATTATATATAGATTCATTCCATAAGTTCTGTTTTTCCAGAGAACCCTGACTAATACAGATACCAGGTACCAGGAATAGTTCTAGAGCAACAGAAGTATAAGGATGAATTTTTGTAAGTATCTGGAATAGACTTTCCAATTTGCCAACATCGACAGTTCGTGAAGCCTTTCCAGTTGAAGCCTTTCCTGGGAGCTTGGAGAGTACTGAAAGCCCATGATGTGAACTCTTTTACAAACTTGAGGAGATGAATGCATTTGATTATCCAGATTTACCAATTATGAGAGGCGATGGATTTGGTGACTCTGTAAATAAAACTTTAGATAATTTGTAGAAGAATAAGGTAAATGATGCTGCTGGTTGGTTGCTCTTAGCATCTCTAGATAAATTGACAAAGGAAAAGAATTAGCTCCATGATAAAAATAATTAACTTCTAGCATCTCAGAATATGTTGAAAGATAACAACCAACTTGGTGATAAAATTGACTGGCTCCAAATTCACATAAACATTCTAAAGTTTTCTGTGTGTGCCCTAGAAGAGAATCTTCTCTCCAGCAGAAAATCAAACCGAAGCCCTCATTATAAGGTTGGCTGAATTACAGTGAAAATTTCAAGTCGAAGCCTGGAGGGTGTGGTGCTTAAAGTAAGGGTATTAATTGGTAAAGAATGGGATCCTGTAACTTGGGCTGAGGATGCATAGGAGGACCTTATTGAGGCTGAGATTTATCTCATCTGAGGAAGTAGTCTCTCCACCGTCAACAAAAGATGTCCTGCCACCCCCACCCTCTGAAATACTGCCTTTTCCACCCTTGACTGAGGAAATTAATCCTTCATTCTCTACTAAACCAGCAGTGACTTTCTCTGAAGAAGATGCCAGGCAAGACAAGACTGATGTCCCTCAGGGCCCACCAATAGTTACTCTAGACCCACAGCTCTCAACCTGTGTGTTGCTACCCCTTTGACAAACATCAGTCTCCAAAAATATCTACATTCTATTTCATAACAGTAGCAAAACTACAGTTTATAAAGTAGCAACAAAAATAACTTTATGGTTGAGGGTCACCACAACATGAGGAACTATATTAAAGGGTCAAAACATTGGGAAGATTGAGAACCACTGCTCTAGACCTATAACTGGACTTGAGGCTAAGCAGGCCCTTAAGAGGGTAGGTAGAAAGTGTAGTCCATGAGGAAGGAGGTGTGCTACACTACTAAAGAGCTTAGTGAGTTTGTGAATTCATTCAAACAGAAGCCTGGAAAATATATGTGGGAATGGATTTTAAGGGTATGGAATAGTGGTGAAAGGAATATAAAACTGGATCAGGCTGAGTAGAACGTTTAGGTTTGATATGAAAGCTTGCATAGTTAAAAAAAGTAGGATGTCAAAAGTCTGTTTGAATGGTTGACTGAAGCGTTTGTCCAAAGATGGTCTACTGAAAAGGAGTTGGAGATGCCTGATGTCCCTGGACTTAGTGTTGATGAGGGGATTTTAAGGCTCAGGGAAATCGCAAAGCTTGAGTGGGTACACTGTGTAAAGGAAAGGCATAGAAGACATGCCCTTTACTAATCCTCTAAGATGTAAAATGGTGAGAGGGCACCAGCACATTTGAAGAGCTTGTGCCAGACCTTAGGGTTGGAGATGCTGCTGCTCAGTTGGATGAATTAAATGTAATGGATTTAATTGGGCCCCAAAGTAGCAGGGGCCAAGAGGCAGTACTGAATTACCAAAGGCAAGGTGATCGTAGTTATTGCAATGGGCAGCATAGACAAAGCAATGTTCATAATGGCCTGACCCGTAATTGTCAGCAGAGACACAATGAATTTTTTAGTGCCACCATCAAAGACTTGAAAGATACAGGGGTGGTGGTTCTTACCACATCTCCCATTAACTCTTCTATCTGGCCAGTGCAGAAGACAGATGGATCATGGAGAATGGCAGTTGACTATCAAAAACTCAATCAAGTAGTGACTCCAGTTGCAGCTGCTGTACCAAACATCGTGTTTCTACTTCAGCAGATTAACACATCTCCCGGTGCATGGTATGCAGCTATTGATCTAGCAAATGCCTTTTCTCAGTACCTGGCCATAAGGACCACCAGAAGCAATTTGCTTTCAGTTGGCAAGGCCAGCAGTAAACCTTTACAGTTTTACATCTAGGATATATTAACTCTCCAGCTCTGTGTCAGAAAGGATCTCGATCATCTCTCTTCCACAAAATATCACATTGTTGTACTGTATTTGACAACATTATGCTGATTGGACCAAGTGAGGAGGAGATAGCAACCACTTTGGGTTCACAAGCACTTAAAACTCTAGCTTCAGGGAGAATTAATGTCTATGATCTCTTAGGGCACCTGTATTCATGTGCATATATCTGTAAGAGGTACATACATATAATTCAAAACAAATTTTAAAAAGTGAATCACTGAAAATGTGTGTGTGTTTATATAGTGTATGTACGTGTTTGTATGTGTATATGCAGATGGTTTGGACATGTGTGTACACATACATGTGGAAACCGGAGGTCAACTGGAGTCTCTTCCTGGATCCCTTTTCTGTTTTTTTTTTTTTTTTTTTTTTTTATAATTTTTGTCTGTTTTAAAGATTGGGCCTCTCATTGAACCTGGAGCTTATTGATTTGCTAGGCATGCT